ACACACCACATCACACCACCTCAGACACACACCACATCACACCCCGCAGACACACACACACCACACACACGCGCACCACAACACATACCACATCACACTCCGCAGGCACACACACACCACACACACACCACCTCAGACACACACCAACACCACACACACACACACCCCAACACTACACACAGACCACCCTAGACACACAGACCACCCCCCCCACATACACCAACACCACACTCACACACCAACAACACACAAACACCAACAACACACACACACCCCAGGCACACAACACACGTATACTCACACCACATTACACGTACACACCACACTGCATATACACAAACCACCCCAAACATACCACAAGCACACACCACCCCTCCCACACCAAACCACACCACACACGCCACAACACACACATGCTACACAGACCGTACACACGCCACCCCAACAGAGCACCACATACACGCCCCAACACACACACCATCCCACACACACCAGATGCACACATACCACACCGCACACATCAAATGTACACACGACACACACCACTCACACACACACCACGCCAGATACACCACAGCCCGCAACTCAACACACATACCACATGCACACACGACACACACAACACATGCCACATGTGTGCACGTCACAGCATACACACTAACATACACACCACGCCACAAGACAGAGCACACCACGCAATGCACGGCATTCCTCACATACCCACACTGTGTACACATTGTCACACCACGTACACACACCACACACCCACCTACCCCCACCCCACATTAGTCATACACCACATGCACACACAAGCCACACACACATGCACCGCACCACACTCTCCACACCAAATACACAGCCCACACACACCACACCACACACACACACTCTCTCCAAGGCAAAATAAGCAAGTAAATAAATAGACGCATTTATGGGCACCGAGGCTGGCAGCAGTTGAGAGGTGGCGATAATTACAAGGTGAAAACCGCAGGGGTGAAGCTTTCATCTCTGAGAACCTTCCTGTAACCTGCTCTCGATAGAAATATTCAGGGAGAAAGCCCCAACTTTCCAGACACGCATCCTCGCTGGGGCTGGACCCCCGGGTGGCTCCAACACCCCCGGCCAGGCCGAAGCCCCCTCGTTCTGCTCCCCAGGCCGCACCGCCCCCTGCTCACACCCTCAGCCCACTTCCCCGTGCAGGGCCCAACATTTCTAAGGAACAAAACACCTGGCTCGGCACCTCGTTCCAAAGTTTCTCTCCACCAAGCTGCAGTTTCTGGGAGAAACACCGCAGCCACTGCCTCAGACACGTCCCCTCCCTCCACCCGGAGTCTCTCAGCCTTGGCCGTGACCTTCCGGCCTGGATGACCCTCCCTGGGGGACCCGCTCGCGCCTCGTAGGACTTTCTACCCGAGTGTCAGCGCGCCCTGGCCTGTTAGTGTCCCAGACGCTGCCCTGTGCCCTGGGAGTGGCCGCTGGAAAATCACCGCTGGGCCCTGCTCCAGTTCCCCCGCCTCCAGCCCTCACGCTTCTGCCCTTGGCTGGGCCCCACCTGCTCAAGAGGGGGCCCCTGGGGGCTCTGGGGTGACCGAGGCGGCTCGTGGGGGTCGGGCCTCAGGCTCAGCAGACCCCAGCACCGGGCTGGGGTCAGGGGTGGTATCTGGAGAGGCCGCCGGTATCGTGGACGCCGGCCCGTAGGCGTGGATTTGCAACAAACTTCGGATGGATTCATCCTACCTGGCCCCTCCACCTGACAGCTGGGGACCGCGGGGTCTTGAGGGCAGCTGAGACGTGTCCCCTCACTGTTGCACGATTCCTACGCATCTGCCCTTTTCACTTGGTAGAGGTCGAGAACGTGCAACCAGGGATGACAGGACTCAGGGCACATTTCGAGAAGGAGACGAACAGTGATGTCCAAAGCGACTTCCTGATGGGGACACCCAGCAAACCAGTATGTCCGACTCCCACCCCAGCATCCACTCCCCTGGCTCCCAGAACGCGGGCCCTGTCCCGGCCTCTCACCCGGGCCTGGAGCATCCCTGCTCACAGGCCTTTGAGGCAGTAGCCAGCCCTCCTCCCTCCGCCCCCCCTTCCTCCTCCCGCTATTCCACCCAAAATAAATTCAATTGCAGCTCGCTAATGTGCCGGTCCCAGAGGTGGGCCATCACTTAGGGAGATAATTTTATTCTGCTCTGGCTCCTGGCCTGGTGAGCACCCCACCTCCAGCTCCATGCAGATAATGAGGGGAGCAGTGGCAGTCTCCTTCCCTGACCTAATTGATTATCCCCACACTCGGCATAGCAGCGCTTTGCATAACCAGCCCCGACAGCGGGAACCCCTTCAGGAGTGATTGACATATTTTATTTCTAATTGAAGCTTAATCAGGGCCGAGGATGAGATTCCCATATATCCCCTCTGTCTCTCTTCCCCTCCCTCCCCCTCTTCTCTCTCTCCCTGGCCCCCTCTCCCCCAGCTTCCTTCCTCCTTTCCAAAGTTTAGGCCCAGACAATAAAAACAGGGAGAGAACAGCAGGACCCTCGAGGGGAGGGAAACTGGAGAGGGCTCTGGGAGGGGGTGACAGGGCCCCCAGGGAAGCTGCGCACAGGGGCAGCACCCGGGTACACCCCAACCCTTCTCTGCACCACACGTGTTGGGGTGCATTTGTCAGTCATGCTGTAATAGAAGGGTGGAAGGGCCAACCCCAGGGTCTTCATTGCAGGGAGCCCAGGGCTGGGTGGGGCTCAGGTCTCCCCATATCCCCCTTCCTGGCCCCTGGGCGCCTCAGCCCTGGGACAGAGGCCCTTCCTCCCCCCTCAGCAGAAGGCCCAGGAGGTCTTTGAGCA